CCCCAAAACCCCAAAACCCCAAAACCCCAAAACCCCATTTTTCACATACTTTATTGAAATTAATACTCACTATCCGTATCATCACTATCATATTTCTTAAAATCTCCTTTGACACTATCATTTTTCGAACTCTTATCATCCTCCTCACTTGGATGTCATTCCTGTCTATAGAAAACTTGATATTTCAATCAAATAAAAACAAACCATAATCTAAACACTACCTATTATCACTCCTAACCGAAGACTGACTCCCCCCTATTCCTTCTAAACTCTCTTCCCCATCTTTGGACTCTTCCTGACTGTCATACCCTCCTAGATCTTTATTAATATCAGCTAGTTCTTTTTCCATCTCAATATGTTTCTTGACTAAGTCTATGTGGTCTTTCATCATTTTGCCCTCTTTTTGTTCACGTTTTTCGAACTTTTTCTTCAGGAGTTCTACTTTGGACTTGAGATCGGAGATTTTGGACTGGAGCATGTCGTTTTCGTCTTCGAGGTGTTCTTGTTCTTCGCGGAGTTTTTGGTTCTAGAGTAGGAGAGATTGGAGAGAGAATTACCTTCTTTTCTAGTTGGCCTAAGAGGTCGACTAGTTTTCTGTTATTGGCTTGGGATGATTTTAGTTCTTCCTTTGCTTTATCGAGAGATTGATTTAGAGTTGAAATTTGATCATTTGAAGAAGTTAGATTGCTAACTATGGATTTAAGGGTTTCAATCTCTTCCTTCAAATTTCTGTTCTCAGAATACAATGCTTGACATTTCTCTTGCATGCTTGTAGACTTTTGAATTGCATACTCATAAATATTATTTGCATTCAAAAAGCTTGAAAAATTCAAACTCTATTTTCTCAAAATTGACCATGTGATCTCTAATATCCTTCTTAGTTTCTTTATCATAATTATCAACCCTAAGGCTCATCTTCAAGAGAGACTTAATCTCTGTAAGTTCTCTTCTAAGAATCGAATTCGTTTGATCAAGTAGCTTCTGCCAATCCATTTGTGAAAATTATTTAAAATTTGACCCAATTTTCTGCAAAATACCGGGGTTTTGGGGTTTTGGGGTTTTGGGGTTTTGGGG